ATCATTCGCTGGCCTGGGAATTTTTTTTAATTTCCAGGATGTTCTCGAAGTGGGTTTTTTTCGGTAATTGTTTTGTGTTTATTACCATACATTTCAGGATATAGAGCACAATACACTTGAGATTAAACTAAACCTATTTTAGTATGCTTGCTTATTATTTTCTTATTTTAAGACATCCAGGAGCAGGCTAAATGAGCAAAACCGGTTCTGTTTAATTAGGAAACTGTACATTTTAATGAGCGATGCCCTGAATCAAGCATTAAGAAACATGAGCAGGGCCGGCGCTACCTATAAGGCGAACTAGGCGGTCGCCTAGGGCGCTGTCCATAGTGGGGCGCCAAAATGGGTTGGAAAAACAAATCGAAAGTTTGAGGGCGGGGTGCAAATCGAAAGTTTGTCCCCGGGCGCCGGGAAGGGTCGCTACGCCTCTGATAATACGGGCGCACGATAAAAATTGCGATGGGGGCGCTTTTAATAAGTTTTGCCTAGGGCGCTAAATAACCTGGCGCCGGCACTGAATAAGAGTAGTTGAATGAGGGAGGATGGAGGGAAGACACATTTTCCGTATATTCGTGTTGTTGGAGCACACCATATTAACCTTAATTTTTAAAATCCGATTCGAATAACAATGATATTTTAGACAAATTAGAGTATATAAGAAAATTAAGTTGCACAAGATATATTTTAAAGACAACGTTAATAAGTTTGCCATCTATAACAGAAGGTAAAAGACAATGTTTGAATAAAGTCGAATTAAAGAGGAAATATTTTTTTTTAAAATTATCTATGCTGTATTATATTACAAAGAGGAGTTAAATCTGTGTGCTGTATTGTATTTTTTCAAGAGAGTCCGTTCATTTTAAGCTACTTCTGGTGCAGCTAGCAGTTGTTGGAAGTAAATATCAAAATCTCGGCCTGAATAAAAATAAACCTAGGTCATTCTGTGAGCTTTTAAACCTTAATGCAGAAAAAAAAGCAATTATCAGTGTTATTGATCAACATTTTCGCCCTGTCATTTTGCACGCGATTTATGCCAGCACCCACGAGTTAATCGATACCATTCAGCTGATCCCATGTCACGTTACTTGTTCTATTTTAAGATGTACATTCTGGTCACGTGACTTTCTCATCGCATCGCAATACACACGCAGTATTTAATTAGGCCTACCCCGACCCAAGTGACACAGCAGTATTTTACTAAAGCCGGAGTGACGTTGTTATGACGCAAGTAGACCATAGAAGAAGTAGCTTGCACTCAAAGGTCACGACGCCTTTTCATTACAAATACATTCTTACAAAACGGAGAGCTCTTACATTTTTCGGCCTGGTTGTTGAACAAAACTAACAAGCAAAGCCATTTTATGTAAACATCATGAAGGCTCATATATATATATATATATATATATATATATATATATATATATATATATATATATATATATATATATATATATATATGTATATATATATATGTGTGTGTGTGTGTGTGTGTATAACTTTTTTTTCTTTAGCTGTGGGGGGGGGGGGGGGGAGGAGGGGGGGTAACACCACAAAGTATAGCACCGGGTGAAACCACCTAGCGACGCCACTGCATGTATACATGGGGAAAAGGGCATTACCCCCCCCCCCCCCCCCCCCAACGTCAATTACCCCCAGGACATCCCCCCACCAACATTACCCCCCGAAGTAATTACCCCCTAGCAATTCCATCTCCCCCCCCCCCCCCGCCCAGTAGGATATTATCCCACTGAAATTGCTTGACAGAATGAGATAAAAGTTGGAATGGGGAAAGCTAGCCGATCCTCTGGGGTGCTAAGAAATATATATTAATCATGAAAGATAAGCTTAACTACCAAACTTTGCGTATTTAAAATTAATGTAGGTCTAATGTTTAGTTGTATCGCGGGTATCCCGTCCAATATTACAATTAAAAATGGAGAAGGGGCCATACGATTTTCGCCAACTGTCGAACACAAGAAGAAGCTCAAAATGTTGGTCTCCTGCCAAAAGAGCCCTGAACTTATGTTGATGGTGTGTGGGCTGAACCTTGAGGTGTTCAATTGCCCGTCCTATTGTTTTTTTTTAATTAAAGATATTTTTTTCTTCTGCGGGCACACTTGAAGGTATTTCTAATGTATCTTGTACAGATGCGCATAATTTTAGGTGAGCTGTTTTAGAAATTCTATGCAAATATATTGAAGGGGTATGCAGAATAAATGTACAGAAAAATAACACTCTCTCACAACTTTAAGAATTATTATGTTAATAGTTTTAATTGAAGTCAAGAAGGCCGGCATGTGCAAATGGTTTTACTAATGACTCACTGGGAAAATATATGGGTCTTAGTAAAAGCTGTAGAAAAATGGGGAGGAAAAACTTAAAACTCTTTTGGAACATCATACTGCAGATTCTGCAGAAACACTAGCTGGTTTTTGTTTTCGCAATCTATAGATCTATCCCTTGAAGCTATTATTGATAATCTCTGAAAATCATTTTCAAAGTTAACTAATGAAAAAAGATGTGTAAACAGTACAGTGATCTAGTCAATGTGTTGTAAAATAAAAATCTGCAAATTTAATTACACAAACAGCAGCTGCTAATGTAAACAAAAACAAGCGACACTTGGCGGTTTATCGTTCTGGTATACGAGGTGTGGATCTATACGGGAGATTGCAAAATTAATTGCCGGGTACCGGGCAAATTGGAAGGGGGGGGGGGAGGTCCGTCACACTCATAGGGGGAGGGGAGGTCCGTAATTTTGTGACGGTGTGTGATAATGGGGGGGGGGTAGGTTTAGATTGTGTGACGTCACACTTTTGCATTATAAAAAAGCAATGTTAGAGGACGAGTTTTAGCCGTTATTTCGCGTTTTAGAAAACTGTTTTAATAAATTGTAATAGGAGTTGAATAAACTACTCTATGTTGACGGAGTTCAGACACGATTTCAAGAAAAATACTGATGTTTTAAGAAAAAATCAACTGTGGGGGTGTTGTAGGCTGGTGTGTTACCGCATTCTAGGGGAGTGAGGTCTGACGTTTTCCGGTTGCATGATTAAAACTGTTTTTCTACATTCGAATATGCCTTTATTTTTTATTTTTCTTCTTTAAATAAAATTATGTTTATACATTTAAAACATCTAACATATTATTTTCAACAAAAGTCCGTATCAAGTTCTCCATATATCGCTGAAGATTCTGATGTGATAGTCTGTGGAAATATTTTGCGGACACAGAGAGAGAGAGAGAGAGAGAGAGAGAGAGAGAGAGAGAAGTGCGCACATGGGCTTTTATACATTAGGATAAAGTAGCAAACTGGTCGGGTGCACGGTCAATAGCGCACTTCCCGGCGCCACAAGCGCTTCAAATTTTGCAGGCTACTGCCTCGGGGCAATAGAACACGGGTGCCGGTGCCGGTTGGCTGCAAAGTCCACGAAGAGAGTGCCAAAACTGACCTCGACTGACCGGCGCCTTATATGAGCTATATTACGAAAAAAAACTTTTACCGAACAGGGGAAATAACTTTTTAAAGAAATAATTTTTAATTACTATTTTTGTTATTTTAAAGAAAAAAACAAAAATCACAAAGTTTAGCATTCGTTTAAATAGATATTTCGTTATAAATTAAATTATGTATTCGACTAAAATTGTAAAAATTAATTGTCAAAGTAAATTAAATATAATATTTGATTTATGCTATTAAGGAAGCAATTGCAGTTCTAATAATCTTGCGAGTAATAAGTGTGCGAATGTTCCTCCTGTTCCTCAATGACATAAAGTATCGAACTAAGCACCATTTTAAAAAAAAATAAAAAAAAATCATCATTTAATAAATCGTTCAAATTTCTCAAAACTTTTTGAAATCTTAAGCGAAGCTAGGCAGTATGCCAAGTAAATGTTTATATATATATATATATATACATATAAATATACATAAATATATATATATAGTTATACACATATATATATATATATATATATATATACGTGTATATATATATATGTATATATATATATATATATATATACTTTTTACGGTGGGGGGGGGGGTGACACCATTAAGTGCCGCACCGGGTGACACCCGACCTCGCTACGCCACTGCTCACCACACACCCGGAGAAGCCATATTATATATATATATATAATATATTATATATATAATATATTATATATGTAATATATATATATATATATATATATATATATATATATATATATATATATATATATATATATATATATAAAAAATATATTATATATATAATATATTATATATATATTATATATATATATATATATATATATATATATATATATATATATATATATAAGCTACACATATGCCATTTTGTTTGATAAGTCACTGTTGATCTAAGAAGCTTTATTGATCTATTGGTTTTGCAGCTGGGCCCACATAGACTTAGATGTTGAACTACTCTAATTATACAAAAAAAACATAACAAAGCCATTGACTCACATCTGGAACAGTGAATAAATTTCGTAATGTCACTTCAAACACAATTTTCTGAAAAGCATAGAAGTATAAAAATAAAAAAACTTCTATGCAATAATGCAGGGCACTGTGCCAGGAGAGAGAAAATGGGGATGGTAAAGACATCATTGGATGACATCAAAGACTGGACTAAACTGCCAGTTGTCATACTACTCACAGCAGTAGGGGACCAGGACAGATGGTAGAAGATGAACTGTGGTGCACCCAACGACCCTAATAAGGGCTAATGGACGATTGGTTGCTTGGCTAAAAAAACAATGAATAGAAAAGAAATACAAATAAGACCAACAATTTTTAGTATGTAAAAAATAAATGTAGGCCGATGGGAATAAAAAAATACTGTATCCCCTCACTGCTGTACCCACACACTTCTAATACCCACACATGCATAAGATTATGCTATGTTGGGAAACAAATAGAACAACAACAAACAAAAAAGACACTGAACTTAACAGACCAGCATATAAAAACAAACTAAAAAAAAGAAACAACCTTATCTTTTAATTATTTTCCCATTATTTTACACAAGCAAGTCATGACACTGCTATTTATTAATATATCAAAGAACAATAAAAATCTTTTTAATTATTAATAGAATGATGAGAAAAAAAGAAAAAAAATTACTAATAATTTTATTTATGATGGCAATACGCCCTGAATGAGCAACACAAGAGTTCATGGTATTAAATAAAAGTGCTTCATTGGTTAGATCTAGCAGATAAAACAAAAAATGCTACAGCATGTCTCAAACATGAGTTCATATATACAAAATATCACAGGAATATCTTGTTTAACCCTTTCATAGTCATTTTATTTTTTACGAAAACAAAATAAAAAAACTACCCACACATTTATTCATTTTTATTCAATTGTAATACAATATATTTTTTAAAATTCAAAATTCCCCAATATGATTTCTACTTAAAAATTATTGCAAAAGATCAACCCTTATATGGTGCCATACTTTGTAAAATGAAGTGCTTACAACACAGATTCTCCAAGGCACATTTAAAAAAATACAAATTGTGAACTATTTTTTAGTGCCAAAAGAAAAACAAAAAACAACTGTCTATGAGTAGAGTCACCTCGAGAATGAAAATCAATACTTGTCCCCATGTTGCATAAAAACAATTTGAATTTAGAAGCTTAGTAGTAAAAGATGTTTGTATAACCAGCAGAAAGGAATTTTTAAAAATGATTTTCAAAAACCCTTCCAAAGACACTAACTTCTATTGGTCAACATTAAAACTTAATCATTATTGGTAATTAATATCCCAATTACTCCTATCCACACCTAAAACATCAGATTTAGAAGACCTACTAATCAAACTTTGAGAACATGAACAGCTGCTAACTTTTTAAAAACATGTTCTTAAAACAATTTTTTATGTTGTTTTTTAACTGAATAAACAAAAAGGTCATAAAATGTAACATTTTTACTACAGTAAACCTTCACTTTGACCAATCTGTCTTATGTCGAATTCTAAGATTACAAATTATGTTCTGCCACATGTGTTATACTTATAAGCTATATTAAGGAACATTTTTTTAAAGCAATTAAGGACTAAGAAATTATACAAATAAATTGTGCTTAGTGTAAATTAGTTACCAGGAACACAATACTTATCTCCCTGTTTAGATGACATTTTGCTATATGCTAAACAAAAAAAAACCCTAAACAAAAAGTTCACTTGTTTTGTTCATAAATAATTTCATATCAAAATGGACACCCAAAACATGTCTCAACATAAAAGTCAGGTTATGTTTTAATTATCTGACAGTTCCAGAGAAATTTAATGCTGTATCAGTGCTGTTTATGTGCGTTACGTTGAACCCTCCAGATTTATTTGGTATATTACTTGTATTTACACCTTCAGTTTTATCTAACTGAGAGTTTCTGCTGCGATTCTGAAGCTTCTCTGCAGGCTTCCCAGGATCTGCTTGATCTTTTATAACCTCATTGGTCTGATTGCCGTCAATAATGTTGTTAATCTGCTTGAGCTGTGCTGGGATGGCTGTTGTGGAGAACATGACAGGTGTGCTGGTTGTGCTGTTGGTATCTATACTATCTGCCTGTGCTGATGGCACATAGAAGAAATACAACTGAGGAATACAAAAGGTTTCATAATAAATTACAAAGAACCATTGATGTTCCTCAAATGATTGTAAGAGAATTAGCATCATTTAAAATAAGAGAATTTTACATTACAACACACCAATAACAGTTAAGACTGTAAATTCAACCAAATAATAATGAGCATATTTAATAAGAATGTTTATACAGTAATGCTTTTGTTATTTTTAAATGGGAAATTTAAATTATTTGACCAAACAAAAGGGAACATCCGAGTTAAAAAATTAAAATACCATTCATGAAGTAAACGAAATGATTGTTTCTAATTTTTACTGTGTATAAAATACCACATTCAGTACTATGACGCTACTAACCAAGATAAAAAAACTCAGTTCATGGCACATCAACCTACTTCTTATCTCTGCCATTCAAAAGGTTATAATCTTTTATCTTTAAGCAGTGTCTTGAATTTTTTTAAAAATGTTAACAGTCAAAGTGAAAAACAAAATGCTGCAGTGTGGGGGTATTTAAAAAAAGAATTTTTCTTCTTGTGAAATCAATAACATCAAAGTTAACCCACATCCATGGCTATTACTCCAAAAAAGAAAAAACAACAAAAAACACTATGGTAACAGATTTTCATTTGGTATACCAACAAACCCCAATGAGGAAAAACCCACCAATATCTTTTGGTGAAATTCTTGTATTTTTTTTTAAAGAGACTAAGATAATTAAATTGAAGACCAAGGTTTCTAAAATATTGTTTTTAACACTATTGAAATCGATCATAATGCATTACAGTCCTATTTTAACAGTGATTTTTAAAAAGAGGCTAACAATCTTTATTTAAAATACATTTCAAAACTCTGTATGAGTAATTTTCTGTTTATATTTCATTTGTAATTATTGCCATTAAAAATAAAAAAGGCATTTACCACAAAACCAGTAGCCAATGCAGCATGCATCACAAAAATGAAAACCATCAACCCAATGGCAATCTGAAAAATATTTACAAATTACATTTTCAATACAACTGGAAAAAAAAATTTGTAATAAATGTTTAAAAAAGCATAGAAAATTGTTAGTGTTAGGTTTAGAAATATGGTGAGGTTTAATATCTTTAACAGCAATTCCTATCAAAATCATCAAACTGCATTGGTTGTCAATAAGTTTTAGACTTACCAGGAAAACATTACAAAAATACATTAAAAACATTTATTTTAAGACTTCCAATTTTACCTTTTTGTTATCTTCACTAACAGCTGGCCAGAATGTCATGAGCAGAACACTACCTGACATAACTGCCCCAACTACCACAAGTGCCCATTGTAGCCAAGAGACTTGAATTGCCCATAAAATCTAAAAATAAATATATTTTTTTTTTACTAATTACATTAAAAGTAGCATAAAACTTCAAAACATTCAGATTTACAACTTAAATATTTTAGGAGGGAAAACACTTTATAACAATGTAGGAACACATTAAATTGTTATAACAATAATAATAGATGTGCCAAACACTTACAGAAATTGGAATGTAAATAGCCAAAGAGTAGCCATATATGCAGATCATCTCTAAAAAGGTGAACTTGGCCTGACTGCCACGCCACCACAGAATGCCAAACAGAAAGAGTGGTATAAGCCACCAGTAGCTAAATATAGCTGTTGCTGCAAATGTCACTGGGAATAAAAAGTTTTTAAAAACTTGTTTCATTTAATATACCTTTTAATATAATTTTTGATATATCTAAATGATAAATGAAATCATACTGGGTGGTTAAAATATTAGGGAAGGGTAAAAATGAAATAAAGTGTTTGTTAAAGTTAAGTGTACACTGAGAACAAGGTATTTTATAAGGTAGTATGCTTTTTAGGTATACAATAGATGTTATAATCATGATGTTAAATTAATATTTTATGATAATTTAAAACAATATTTCTGTTGATAAAATTAACACCACAACTGCACATAACAAGGGACATAACAGCAAAAAAATATTTTTAAACACATGCTGTTCTGCATAGTTAGCTAACTTGTTTTTTTAAGTTACTTGAGTATCTATTTTTAACAAGTGTCTAACTTAACTTTGGTAAAAAAAACTTTGAAACTAATTACCTTTGTGAAAGTCATACTTCCATTTATAATACTTCCCTGCAGAGCTAAAGTAATTAGCAAGATTACCAGCTATTGCAGTTGTAAATACTAGTGTGGTGCAAATCCAAAAAGGACCTGAAACAATTTGGGAGATGGAAGAAATATAGCAAGGTCAATAACAAAATAAAGGTTTATAAACCACATCGCACATTTGTTTAGCTGGTACAGTTAATAACAGTACTTACACCAGTAGGGTTAATGTATAGTATGAATTATTATGCGAGGCATGTCACTTACAGTACTCTGTGTGTGTATCTTTATGACAAGTATTTAATAATGTTTCTATTATTTAATGCATGAACCTGTACATTGGAATTGATGTTAATATACTACCATATAAATCTGGATTTGGCCTTATGTGTTTTTGGAGATAATTCTGTCCTGGCCTAGGGACCATTGAACCGACTATTCTTCTCCCAACTTGTTTCGTGTCAACATCAAAAAACTGCTGATAGTATGCAAATGTCCAAAACGATGAGGTACTCTTCTCCTTGATAAGCTGCATAAAAAGTGACATTCAAAAAAGAATGATAAGATTATTTTTACAAATATTTTATACATTATATACATAACATAAAAAGCAAAAATGCTGAGTTGAACAAACATAACTTTGAAATGTTACTTTTTAACAGATATCTTTAAAAAATACTTTTTTTTACTATGCAATTAATTTAATAAAATACATTTCTTTACCTTAGCCCTGTCATCGTCATCATCATCTGAATCAGCAGCTGTGTGGGGGAAGTCGGTGAACTGATGTGTCTGACCATCATCTTTATGAGAACTGTCATGTGGAATATCTATTTTACAAAAAAAGGGAAATTTGTGTTAACAATTCTATTTAGATCTCACTTAAAATATAGTGGTGACTGTGGTTTCCCTGAAAAAATAAGCTTATTTCTTCATGGGAATACCTGGTTAAGAACAGGGCTACTACCTCAGATGACTTTAATTCTTGCTAATCCAACATTCATTTAAAAAACTTAATCCTAAAAATTTAGCTTACCTTGAAACTTTAAATTTTCCATCCCACCATCCTGCGTGTCAATCTGAAATATTATTTTTGCCATTCATAAATACTAGTGGTAGCGATAATTGTTTTATCAATTTAAAAAAGGCATAATTTGTATTTTGCTTACAAAAAAAAAGACAATTTAAAATGGCAGTCAAATTTGAGACATTAAAATGCTTTGAAAAGTATTCAAAAAAAAAAAACAAGTGCAGAGGACATAACACTAAAATTTAACTGAAGTATAAAGTAAATTTAATTTTTTTTTACTTTAGTAAAAAGTAACTTTGGGTAGAAAGTGAATATTTGCTAAATTGACTAGACTTGTACCTTATTATAGATCTAGAGTTATTTAATACGAACACCAATTTCATGGCAGAATATGTTTAATTTTTTTCATCAAATCTTCTTTCTTCTTAATTTTTAGTGTTGGAAGGGATCGAGCCTTATCTGCCAGAGGGTTTGAACTCGAGACTTTTTCAAATTTATCAACCATGAGCTTTAGCCAACTCAACCATGCCTCCATCACAATTAAGGATACGTGTCAACTGGTTATGCGCCACTGAGGCCATTGACTCCGATTTCAGCCTGCTTTTCTTTTTTGATTTGCTTCCATAGCCTTTGTCCAACCAAAAACAAACTACAAGGCAGCAGTTGTTTGATTTTGGAGTTGTCTCCCCTAGAAGAGTGGCTGTCCCCAGCTAACGTGCTTCATCTGCCCGAGGGTAGGAACTCGAGACTTTTTTGGTTTAGCAACCATGAGCTTTACAGACTCAACCACGCCGACCCCTTTCATCAAATAATCGCCTACATCTGGTGTGAGTTAGTAACTTTGTAAAGGTAACAACACTTAGACAATGACTTTTATTGTGATATGAGAGTAGGACAAGCACAGTACACTTTTAAAAAATTATCCTGGATCTACACTTTTAGATTTGCCAAGAAACTAGTAGCTTTAGATTTCTAGTGGTTAGATCTTAGAACTAGAGTCTAGTAGCTTAAAATGGTAAATAATAAAAGTAATTTTAGCAGCTCATAAGTATACTCAGGGGCGTAGCGAGGGGGGGGGCGGGGGGTGCGGACCGCACCGGGTGACACCATTTAGGGGGGTGACACCAAGGCAAAAGATAGCAAAATATATAGAGAAAAACTCGAGGGGGGGGGTGCAAATCGAAAGTTTGAGGGGGGGGTGCAAATCGAAAACTCGAGGGGGGGGGTGCAAATCGAAAGTTTGAGGGGGGGGGGGTGCAAATCGAAAATTTGAAAGTTTGTCCCTGGGAAGGGTCTCTATGCCTCTGGGGGGGTGACACCATTAAGTGCCGCACCGGGTGACACCCGACCTCGCTACGCCACTGAGTATACTAGGATATAGATCTAATTAATGCTTAACTAGTGTTTTTTTTTATTATGCCACAATTTTGATCTAAGCTAGATCCTGAATATTTCACTATTTCCTTGAATGCTAAAGCCCTAAGAATAAAAAATGGAATATATTCAATACACCCTTAGCTTCCCATGTTATTTATTTTTGAAGAATGGAAACTTAACTGGTAAAAACCAGCACATCCTTCTAACTAATTTAGGGCAATCTAGGCCAATGCAGCATATGCTAACATTTGAACAAATGTGATCTAGTGGCTCTGGTGTGAGTTAGTAACTTTGTAAAGGTAACAACACTTAGACAATGACTTTTATTGTGATATGAGAGTAGGACAAGCACAGTACACTTTTAAAAAATTATCCTGGATCTACACTTTTAGATTTGCCAAGAAACTAGTAGCTTTAGATTTCTAGTGGTTAGATCTTAGAACTAGAGTCTAGTAGCTTAAAATGGTAAATAATAAAAGTAATTTTAGCAGCTCATAAGTATACTAGGATATAGATCTAATTAATGCTTAACTAGTGTTTTTTTTTATTATGCCACAATTTTGATCTAAGCTAGATCCTGAATATTTCACTATTTCCTTGAATGCTAAAGCCCTAAGAATAAAAAATGGAATATATTCAATACACCCTTAGCTTCCCATGTTATTTATTTTTGAAGAATGGAAACTTAACTGGTAAAAACCAGCACATCCTTCTAACTAATTTAGGGCAATCTAGGCCAATGCAGCATATGCTAACATTTGAACAAATGTGATCTAGTGGCTCTGGCCACAAAATATAGGCCTATAATGCCTATAGCATCATACAGGAAATGTTAAATCTCATTGTTTAATAAATTAGCTAATTAGGCCTAATTAATTAAATATTACTATGATCAGATAATGATAATATTTTGGTAAAGGCTCGACACACAACACTGTGGTATGTGGCCTGACCGATTGAAAGGAGATTGTTGTTATTATTTATTGTTTTGAGTTTATATTTCATTCAATGCAACAAGCCTGCAGGTTGGGTTGGTTGAGGCCAGGCCGTGGTTTTGTTCTGCCGGGGATACAAAGAGTCAAAATAATAAATCTTGTCCCTTTGCAGATAAATTTTTGGATGATTTAAGATACTGATGTTGGATAATAGACTCTTAAAGTTTGTTGGGTTGTTAGTAGTATAGTCATCTTGACTAGTTTTAACGTTAGAAATTACTTTATTTGGGATAGGCATATGGTAGGACTAGACTAGGGTTGATCATTGAAATTAGCAAGCCATGTGTGTATTTTAGTTAACTAGCAGTGACCGTACACCCCTTTTAAAGCCTTTTTTAAGATGATTCTGTTATCAGACCCTATGTTAATAACACATAACAGTGCTATTATAAAAATACCCCCCCCCCCCTGAGAATTTTTAGGCCCTAAAAAAAATTAATTTTTTAAAACCACATGACCTAGTTAGTTTAGCCACTGTTTTCAATTTCTGAGATAGATCTAGAATCTAGATCTAGATGTAAAAAAAAAAAATTGCATTCGGCCTATCGTTTTTACTTTCTCGTATATACGAAGTATAGAGAAAGTATTGTAATCGTGCACAAAAATCACTTGAAATTTTAACAATTTTCACCGTATTACACCTCAGTCCTTCATCACATCCGAAGTATAGAGGACTTATTTTAATCGGGCAAAAATGATCAATCCAGATTTATCAAAATTAAGAGGTTTTATGCATAATCCAGTCTGAAAAACTGGGCTTTGCAATTCTGTCCGTATGTCTGTGTGTGTGTGTGTCTGTCCGTGTGTAAACACGATAACTTCAGTACCGTTACAGCTAGGTTGATGAAATTTCATATATAAGTATTTTATCAAAATCGTAGATCCGTATCAACTTTTGAGCTATTTCCGATAACCGGAAGTGGTACTTTTCCTACTTTGAATTTTTCAAAAGCCTGTAAATTGAGTATGATTTCAGATAGATAAATGAAATTTCTCATGTAAGTAAAAGATCTAATTTTCTACCTTCTGTTAAATTTTGAGTAATTTCCGTTGTCCGGAAGTAGTAATTTACGCTACTTCCGATTTCTCAAAAAACTAATGTAAATTTTAAAAGTACTAATAATATTGCGTACTATTAAGCACTTTTTTATTTGGCGTTCACTTGGTGTGCAATTCTTTTGTCTACGAGATTTTATTCTATTTTTAAAACTTCAAGTATTTAAAATGGATTAAAAATCATGTCTATAGCCCGAGTTCCCATCCCCTGTTGTTTTATATAAGAATATTCGAGAAAGTTTAGGGGAGATCACTCTCGGTTTATTTTTTTCCATTTTGATTGTTTTCAAGACATTTCAGTTTCAAGACAAGTAATTTAGTAGGGCCTACACTTCACTCTACTGTCTACACTCACTACACTGAGACTATGACTACACTCACTGATGTAGTGACTGTACTGACACTACTTACTACTGACTGTCTACCTACTGTGTCTTTCTACTCAGTACGAGTACTGTAGTGTAACTGACTAGATTCTAGTTAGTAGTGAGTGTCCACTGACTGAAGTTAGAAGTTCAAGTAGTAGTGCAGATTATGGTAATCTATCGTTTTAGGTACGTAAAATCGCCCGCGACTAGTAATGTGAAAAATAGGTGACTCCTTACATTTTAATAATTATTTCACATTTTGAGGGGGATTTATGTTTTGAAAAATACAAAAATGTTTCCTTGTTTCATTTATGTACCTGTTTTTAAACAATTGAATTAAAACTTTTCAGTAATAAATGAACACCAGCGATGTTTCCAACAGATGCAACCATGCTCATTTACTATAGCAGCCATCTTGTTAAAGTTTTTTTATAGACTTAAAGCGCGAGATTCAGGCGGAAGTCACTCTATTTTACAAATGGCTGCAGTAATATATAGATCTACTATATAATATTATTAATATAGGCTATATTATATAATATAGCAAATCTTGCTTGCAGACACTGCTGTTTAAAGTTAATTTCTGGCCTATAATATTGATATATTTAGCCATTGATTTAGGTTTATTATTCATTTATCTATAATATTTGACACAAACATATCACAATATACTTCTATTACAGCCTTGATAATGAGGTAACGTTTTCGTACATTAATAGCCGCGGGCGATTTTACGTACCCAAAACGATAGATTACCCTGATTATTTATTATTTATTTTTACCCATTTTTAAACATCTATTCTTTTAAATAAGGATTAGTTTTAAAATGCTAGATGTATTATTTTAAGATGATAAATTAACGTAGATATTAAAATTCAATGAATGAGATAATAATAAAGATATATTGATTAAATTAGCCTACATCGTCAAAATTATCCACGTCAATTGTTGTTGTTGACGCCATTCGAGAATTACTGTGCGAATGTAAATAACGAACAACGACGAAATTCACCAAAATAATTTGATATTAACGAATAGAATTTTTATACTGTGGTTAAGAATTAACAAATTTGTTATAGGCCTATGCCTATATCAAAACTTAATTTTAATGATAATATATTTTTGACGCTTGATTTTTATTATATTCAAAAGGCCAATATACGTATATTATTATTAAGTATTAAAGCTATGTCTGAAAATGTCTGAAAACTAGTCGTTTTCGGCACTCCCCAGACTATAAGACCGGGTCGTCCACATAAATTACTTAGTCATGTGAATTTAAGCCGATTCCAAAACGTTACACATTATCACAAAAAGCCACCCCCCCCCCCCTCCACCACAATTAAAATAAACATCTCCTTGACTATTTATTGAATACTTCTTTTCACGTGACACATTGTCATACAAATCTAGCCCACTCTTCCCCACTCCCCCCCCCCCCCCCCCGCAGCCTACAAAGGAACTACAATACAAAGGGCGTAGTTACCCATTCCGGCGCCCGGAATCACTTTTGCGCCACGGCCAATTATAGTTATTATATATACATCTTGTTATCAAGAACAGCGCCTCCCACATTTTGAAATGTCGGGACGCTTTTTAGCCAGTCACTGGTGATTTTTTTAAAAAAATTTCTGTGTAAAGCAAAGCAGATGCGTAGCGACTCCTCTCGGCGCTCGGGGACAAACTTTCGAATTGGCGCCCCCCCCCCCCCCCGTATATATTTTTGAATATTTATAATTCAAAAATAGCAGCTAAAATGAGATTATTTTGGCGCCCCTAGGTTCGACGCATGGGAGCATAAGTACCCCCCCCCCTACGCATCTGAAGCAAAGTAGCAGCATTTTTAAAAAAAGTTACTTCGACTGTGTACTTTTCAGTAGTCAGTAATGCATCTCATAAAGTACTTTTAATTATAATTCCCTTGCTTCTAAATGAAAGAATTATGTTATAAGATATTAAAAAAGTACACTTTTACACATTTACACTAGGTCTAGATCTAAACATAGACTAAATCTAGATCTGTTAATTGTTGAAAAGTGTATTGAGGCCGCGATGTGGAAGCTAGCGGTGTTGTGTAGGCCAGTGATGAGTGAAATGAAGAAGTTAGGTTTAGAATTTTTTTTATTCATTTGATCTGGCAACCTCGCCTCTAGCAATCACAACAACATGGCTGGATCAAGTGTTGCAGCTAAAGTGAAAGTAGGAATGATCAAAAGATTAGGTGATTTTTTTTCTTTCTTTATTTTCCAGACCAGGTTCTAATGAAAAGCACACAAGTGTCCAAAAGGGTTTTTTACTTTTATCTTATTTATCGGCCTTACTTTAAATTTGTGATGCCTTACTGACCTTGAGAACTTGTCTTTTTTGAGGTTGAGTAGTCGGTTGATAACTTGACTGACTTTCAAACTGTTTACTTGTCTTGAGGATCAACCTTTTTAGCGCAATTTCCATTCTGGAGAATTACGTTTATTAACCCGTCATTTCTGGATGTATGAATGAATGGATGTGTCCGCAGCTTTAAGACACTTTAAGTCGTATCTCCTCCTCAACGAAGCAATATCGAGGACTAGTTCCAAAAGCAATTATGTTAAGCAAGTTCCGAGGATGAACATAGGCCAAAAAAATTCTGGGTTTCTTTCATGGATTTCCCGGAAAAGCCAAAAAACCTCAAAAAAATGCAGTTTTTGGCCCATATCTCGGCAACCAGATCACTTAGCGACTTGAAACATTTACCAATCGATTCCTGCCATAATTTAGAACAATATTGCAGAAGAAAGTTTTCAAAAATATCCTTTCGTTCGGTCACAAAAATTTTTTTGAATTAATTAAAATTTGGACTGAATTAGTAGGCATTTTTATCCAACCACACCACACGCGTCATCACGTTCAATAGCTGCGACATCACGTTCAATGGCTGCGACATCACGTTCGGTAGCTAGGCGCACAATGGTTTTTAGTCATGTAACTCTATTGTAAATAAAACATGTAAAATACTGAAAAAAAAATTAATAAAAAACGTTTTAATAACTAACCAATGGTTTTACTAACCCTGCTCTTGATTTACGCTACGACAGAGCTATTTTTAGATAACATAAGGAAATTGCGCTAAAATTGTCTTTAGACTTTTTAATTACCTTGTTTATGTTTAGGCTTAAAACATTTTATTTTAAGGCCATATTTAATATTCAACATTTTCATTTATTTAATTAAAATAGGCCCCTAATTCTTTAATACTCTCATTTGCACTTCTCCCTCTCTCTCCAACTCCTCTTTCACACTCTGAACTCTGATCTGAGGCTAACTTAACTAATTTTTTTTAGTAATTTATTATACTAGATCTAGATCTATATAATATTTAACTATATTATTAGTAATAGCTCATTTGTTTAACTACTAGATCTAGATCTACTAACTAAAATCTAAACTCTGACCAGAATGAGATCTGTAGAATGGTAGATATACTACTCAAAGATGGTGCTGGTATTATTAAAAATTATTTAAAATAAGGCCAATTCTAATTCTAGCCAAAAAAAAAGATACAAAACACAGTGCTACAGTGTCCAGGTTTTTCTTGTCATCTAAATGTTCGTTGTTTAGGCCTATTAGTATTACTATTAATATCCTTCACTAAATAGTACATGTTGTCTTGATGATTAACTCTAATAAAAAATAAAAACTAGATTCAAATAGGTTAAGCCTATAAATAGCCTATTATTACTACACAAGAAAAATGGCCCGTTGAGGAAGGATACAACGGGCGCTAGGCTGATAGTGCTGTCTCTTTTCTCTAAACTAAAACCACCCCCCCCCCCCCCCCCAAAAAAAAAACATGTCTACCGTCCCATTCAACGAAATATAATTATATACTTTTTCCAGTGTCCGCCCCCTCCCCCGAAAATTCTACCCCCCGCCACCGAAAATTTCAAGTACCCCCCACCCCTCTCCGGGGAGGAAAAAGTCTAAATTAAAACCACCCCCCACCCACACCCCCCCCCCCTAAAAAAAAACATGTCTACCGTCCCATTCAACGAAATATAATTATATACTTTTTCCAGTGTCCGCCCCCTCCCCGAAAATTCTACCCCCGCCCCCGAAAATTTCAAGTACCCCCACCCCTCTCCGTGGAGGAAAAAGTCTGAAAGAAACACTGGTGTCGCGCATAGCCACTACGCGAAGAATTGCATTAAAGAAATTGCAAGAAAACCACTTTTTAGATTAGACACATTAATTAGGCGGTAATTTTATTATAGAGTATCGATGAGGAAATTTCCTTTGAGTTAGGGAGGGTGGGGGGGGGGCTCAGACGTTCTTACGCGGGGGTGGGGCTTCGCCCCTACCCGAAGAATTGTATGAAAGAAACTCTTCACGCAAACCACTTAGATTAGACAAAATTGCCTTTTTATTCAATGTTTACTCGATAATCAATGACGTCATATTACTGTGTGCACTCTCCGGCTTGACTCAGTGCTAAATGTGGCGACGTCATACTTCGTTTTTCGAATTACTATGCATGTTTTTATTTTCCTTGTGTTTTCTCTAGAGCGTTCTTGTCAGATAGATAGATACACAGACAGCGAAACTATTAGTATTAATGTTGTCTTGATGATTAACACGATAAAAAATAGGACATTCAAATAGGTTAGGCCTAATCAAGTAGATTTTAAAAAAGGATTTTACAGACTAAATCGCTTTACTTTATACTATAATTATAAACTGTACTATACTCTATAACTTGGAATTTAACCCTCAACCCCTGACGATCCATAAGGTACAGTTAGTTCTATCAGAAGAATACGACTAAAAGGGTAATTTGAGCCCATATCCCAGCTATTAGGAGTAATTTGATCCTGTTGCACAACTATTATTATTAAGGTCATGGTGTTTAACATCTTAGCCTAGGCGTTTTGGGGGGGGGGGGGGGGGGGGGGGAACAGAAGCTCCTTTACAGTAGTTAATGTAAAAATAAACAGATATTCCTATTTAAATCAAATTACCCAACCAGAGAAATAATGCTATATTTGTCAACCTTACAGTTAATAATTCTTTAAAACAAACCCGACATCCTATTCAACAATAGGATACTAAAGTTGCTGACTGTAAAGTTCACTGCCTCAAAATGCATATTTGGACTTAAGCTTTAGTTAACAATACTTAGTTTGTGAGATTGCAGTAATGTGCAACAAGTACTCTAGTCAATAATGAATAATAGATGGGTCTAATCCAGACTCTAGATTAATATGTAGTGTCTATACCTGTATATTTAAATAAGAATATATTTTTATCATGGGCCTAATTTGTTACTATTTTTTTATTTATTATCATTTTTCAGTTTTTGTAAGCGAACATATTTTTTTTAGTTAAAAAATGTATACATTGTTGTAGTTAGTAAGTCTACTTAATTTAATTAAAAATAACTAAATCTAATTAGATCTTGTATCATCACTTGTTTGTATGAGATTTCATAAGCAACTAATGCTTTTTACTTAGAAGTTTGTTTAATTTAAAGTGATATTATTATTAGGTCAGTTAAAAGAGCCTATTTATTAATAATTTTGATTTAAAGGTTTTTGTTTTATCAGTTTTTTTTTTAAATTATGAATTTAAAAATTAAAATTGTTGATATTCAAGTTTTTTAAAAACAGTTTTGGATGAGACCTAATTTTTTTTGCATTCTTTTTCCACATGAGATGTGACTGAAGTATTTGCTTTAAAACCCTATCAGTATCAGTAGCTTCTGGTCTCTATTGCCTTTTTTAGTGTAGTATTAATTAATGACCACACTGTAACTTCATATGCCAATGTTGCTGAAACAGATGGAATCTACTTCACGTGCCCTATCCTGTCTGAAAAGGTGTCTTATTTTTACTTTTTCTTTTACTAAACTACTATTCAGTTTTAAACTTAATATATTATTTCGTCTCCAGGTAAATACTTCCAAAACATTTTTAATGACTACAAAGCTGCCATACTGGAGACAGTCCAAGATTCTCGTGAACAATCTGTAAAAGCTTCAGTGTACTTTACTGGTCTAGTTGCTGCAGGAATCCTAATGAAATCTAACCCTTCGTCTGCTGATTTAGAAGACACACTCTTGCAAAGTGCTCACGAACTCTCCTTGATTAGTGCATCTATTAGAAACAAGGATTCTGACTCTTTTGTGGATAATTTGAGAACTGCTCAAAGAAATGGATGCTTGCATCACACAAATTTAGGATTATTCTCACTTGTTTGGCTAAGTGAATATCGAGATGAACTAGATTTATATGATGCACAGTGTAAATATACACAGCTGCCGTGGTATCAGTGGCACAAAAAGATTGTTGATGTTGGAATACTTGGTAAATTTGTCACTTTGTCAAAGAAGATGCAAGATTATGATGTTAACTTAGATGAATGGAAAGACAAAAATCTTACATAATCATAAATTTTGATTGATGTGTTATAGTATGTGTAAGTAACTGAATATATTAATTGCTTTTTTTATTTTGTGGCAAGTAATTTATAATAAACAACCACTTTTATATACATCTAACACAAAATGTTCAAATTTCATACAAACATTACATCACAGGTTTTGTCTATATTATTATGAATGACACTACTCAAACCAATATAAATATACTAAATTCCTAATAATGAAAACAAATAATAATGAAAACCAAATGTCTTTTTGTTAAACTAGTTTAAGTTATTTCATTAAAAATTGTTTTATGTTCATTGGTCAAAGCACTGGCAATAATTTTGCAAAAGATTGATAAAATTATCCAAAGGCATTACTGGGTTTTTTTTAATAGTAAATACTGTTTTGGTAAATTATACATGTGATTGAAAATGTATCACCCTCTTCAGAATTATGGTATCAGAAAAATATTTAGCTTTTGTAATTCTAATGAACTCAATAGACTGATTTTTTGTGACATCTATTGAAATTGAATGTGTGATAAAAACCATTTAAATTTAAAGACAGAATCATGGACCTAAATTTAACTTAAATGTATATCAATGTTGTTGACATTTACTTGAAATTTTCATTAGTCATGATTACAGATACCTTTAAAAGGTTTTATTTCACTACACCAGTTGTATTAGCATTTTTGCATCATCACTACTGATAAATTGAATTTCATTCAACATTTCTAATACTAATAGTTCTTACACGTCTATTCTTTGCAGTCTTATTTTAATCATGTTTACTATAGAACAAGCAGATTTATTTTAAACTGCTATGAAGTACAAGATGAGCACAGATATTCATTTGGTGCATATTATCTGATCACACCCTTAAAAAAACTTTTTTAGATACGAAATTAATAGCAGCTAGATTCTAACTACACTTTGATTAGAAAGAAAGATTGTTTAAAAATCATTTAAGGTATTGTAATAAACTATTTTAAGTATTGAAAACCACTTATGAAAATAGGTAGGTTTTTTAAAATTGAAGTTATTTAGGACCTACCCATTTTTTAAAGATGAGATTTAATGGCCAGTCATGCTAAGTTGAAATACATTATTTTGTGGCTTTTGTTTCCTTTTATAGTGGTATGATCACATTGGCATTAAAAAAAATTGTGGTGATAGTGTTTTTTATTATTATTATCTTGGACAATTTTTAGTATTTCATTATGGTACTTGACAGAAGAATGACAATATTTGGGTCTTCCTTGAAATTACCTATGATAGTGTATAAAGACAATTTTACTGCAACAAAGAACATTGGGATACATTCAAATTAAATTATTGTCTTCACCAGGTTGAAATTTTTTAAAACTTATCTGATTGTCACTACAGCATAAAAATATTTTATATACTGACATAATAGCTAATCAAAATTTGCATTGCTATTATAAGTGAGTGTGGAGGTAGCTTCTTACTGAAGCATTTTAGGAGTTTCCAGGCATTTGTAAATTTAATTTATTTAAAATTAGAAACTTTCAAGCTAAGAAAATCATAATGGAAGTTTTTCTTCTTTACTAAATAAAAAAAATGCCTCAGAACTTGGGAATCCCTTACACCATCATATTTTGAATTTTACAAATTTTTAACTACCGCCATCCTAGGTGAAAAGACCATAAGCTTAGAAATTTTAGTATATGTTAGCTTTTAACCTCTCTTTCAGAAAACGAATTAAAAAACTGCAGAATAAACTGATGGAATTTATTACAAAATGAACACGAACTGAATTGAACAAACTTCTAAAATGTTTGTCTAATTTTCTAATGACAATGTATATCATTTCAATACATAAAAGTTCTTACACGCATTAAGCTGAATTTTAAAAAATTACTTAGAAACATTTTCGATGAACAATAGCTGGACCAGATTCATCATACTCTTGTTTGGATATCCACATTTGTTGGAATGTTGATAGTGATGCTAGGATAGATCCTCCAATCCACACAGAGTATTTGCGCTCAGGAGGGGCAATGATCTTGATTTTCATAGTACTTGGGGCCAAAGCTGTGATTTCTTTTTGCATTCGATCAGCTATTCCAGGATACATAGTAGAACCACCTGACAACACAGTGTTGGCATACAAATCTTTACGAATGTCAACATCACATTTCATTATTGAATTGTATGTTGTTTCATGCACTCCTGCTGACTCCATTCCCAAAAAAGAAGGTTGAAACATGGCTTCTGGTGTTCTGAATCTTTCATTACCTATGGTAATAACTTGGCCATCTGGTAGTTCATAACTCTTTTCTAATGTTGAGGAGGAAGCTGCAGTACCCATTTCTTGTTCAAAGTCAAGAGCAACATAGCAGAGCTTTTCTTTAATGTCACGGACAATTTCTCTTTCTGCTGTAGTGGTGAAGCTGTAGCCTCTCTCTGTGAGGATCTTCATCAAGTAATCAGTGAGATCACGACCGGCCAAATCCAATCTCATAATGGCATGAGGCAAGGCGTAACCTTCATAGATTGGGACTGTGTGGGTAACACCATCACCAGAGTCCAAGACAATACCAGTGGTACGACCTGATGCATACAGAGAAAGAACAGCCTGAATAGCTACGTACATTGCTGGTGAGTTAAAGGTCTCGAACATGATCTGTGTCATCTTTTCTCTGTTGGCTTTGGGGTTGAGTGGAGCCTCAGTGAGAAGAACAGGGTGTTCCTCAGGGGCAACTCTCAGCTCATTGTAGAAGGTGTGGTGCCAGATCTTCTCCATGTCATCCCAGTTGGTGACAATACCATGCTCAATGGGGTATTTCAGTGTCAGGATACCTCTCTTGGACTGGGCCTCATCTCCAACATAGCTGTCTTTCTGTCCCATACCAACCATCACACCCTGTAAAATAAATATAATACCATTAATTTTAATGCACATTTTAAATATAAGCCATAAATGTAAATTATAGCAAGCAAAATTTTTTTTGTGAAAACTTAAAAAGTTTAACCTCATAATTTGAATAAAAATTAAACTATTAAAATTATTTTTCAATTAAAAATATGAAACTTCATTAGACGGATGTAAAATAGTCCTCAATAAAGACAACCACTTCAAACTAGAACAGTGACTAAGTTATCTTTCCTCGTTATTATTAACTAACAGTTAACAACAGCTGTTAAAATAGTGATGTTCTACTTTAGGCCTACTGGCTAGTAGAATCTAGATCTTTATTCTATGTCCAGCGAAATATCATTACATTTTCAGTGCAGTAATGTAAATGTAATATAGAAATATAGAGTCTAGATTAGGCCGATTAGCCTCTTAACTAGAGAAAGTAAAATAGTAATTGAGCTCATGAATTATGATCATCTGACTTAAAACTAAGTTCAAACATTTGACTTAAGAGATAGGACAGATCTTTCAATTATTACAGTCATACATTTCTATACCATTTTAATTCTATAAGTCTACTCTGTGAGGGTCTAGAATCTAGATCTAGATTAGAACTAATCTTGATTATCTTCTAGAATCTAGATCTAGAATCTAAATCTTAGATTTTGATCTATTCAAGATCTTATCTAGATTTGAGTGAAATATTACATTCACTTGATTCACATCAAAAGATGTCACTCTGTTGTAGATATTCTAATTATTAATTATAGATCTATCTAGATCTAGAACCTGAGATCTAGATTCTAGATCTAGATTGAGAATCAGATTATAAAAACTTGTCACCATTGTGAAAACATTTTTAATTAAAACTTCATAATCTTTTCCTGTTTGTGCTGTAGTCACATGGGGCAGATGGATCTAGATCTAGATTATGTAAAGTTAATCTGTTTTATAGTTTTATTGTCCTCAATATTCAAGTGGCTAGGATCAGTGTGGTCAGTCCTATGCACAGCTGCCCTTGGTTCCCTAACTTTAGACACCTAGTGACCTAGTCGGGTGGTAGCTTCAGACCTGGGTGGATTCATAGTTCATAAGATCTAGATCTAGATTCTTGTGCTAGATTCTAGATCTAGACTCTAGAATAGTCAGCCACTCTAGACTAGATAGATCTAGACCAGTGTTTCTTCCAGACTTTCTTCGGGGGGGGGGGGGGGGGGGGGGGGACACACACTGTTAAAAGTATATATTTTCTATAGATCTATAAATTATATAGAATATATAAATTTCATTTCGTTCGGGGGTGCGGTAAAATTTTTTCGGGGGGGGGGGGGGCTTTGCCCCCCCCCCCCCCCCCCCGAAGAAATGCCTGGAAGAAACTCTGATCTAGATCTAGTCTAGATTTAAAGTCTAATAAAGAGACAGAGTTCTGTATGAGTCAGTATGAGATGTATCCGACTCAAGCCTAGATCTAGAATCTGGAACTATCTAGATCTAGATTAGATCTAGAATCTAGCTAGATCTAGATCTAACCTAATATTTAAGAAAGAAGTCATTAAGAGCACTTCCGCTTTGTGCCAAATTTTAAAAAGTTATTATTAATTTCATTATTTATAGACTACTTTATACATTACCTGATGGCGAGGTCTTCCCACAATAGAAGGAAATACTGCTCTTGGTGCGTCGTCTCCTGCAAACCCAGCCTTGCACATTCCTGAGCCATTGTCAATCACAAGCGCTGCAACATCTTCATCAGACATTTTAATTTGATGTACGGGTTATGCCTAAATGCTTTCAACTTGAAATCTAAGATGTAGATCTAAGCCTTCGTAGAAATAGCTTTTCAAATAAATCAATGCTGAATTAATTAAAGTTGATTTTTTTAAAGAAGGGTTTCCAACGCTTTTTTTCTCGTACAAGGAGGTTAAAACTTTATGCCCTGGGCTGATTTTTAACGAAATTCTTGTGACATGTTTTAAAACTAGAATTTGTTTTCGAAAGTAATGGCTCGTGATGAATGCTATGCGTATTAAAATGGTGTTAATTATTTTTAATATATTTTAAAACAATTTACCATTGAATAAAAACGTTCATATAACATTGGCGTTGTAAGATTTTAAAAATTATTAAAGTAGGCTACTTTACTTTCAATCTGGCAAACCAAATTCTGCAAATAGGTCGTTTTCATTGGTTAGCTTAGGCCTAATAGAATGTGTTTCTAAGAACAAGAAGATTATTATGACCATAAAAGGAAAACATTTTTGGACAAATCAATGTAGCCTAATAGTCTGTTTCTAAGAAGTTCAATTTATTACTATTAAACCTAATGAGAGGTATTTAATATTTAGTTTTGAGTAGCTGCCTGGTGGCCTAGTCTACCACCATAAAATACATGAACAATAGGCATTACTGGTTAAATTATTTAGTAAACACTGGTAGCGGAACTTTTAAAAAGCCATTCTGTAATTATTAAGGTTTACATTTTATTTACCTTAAGTATAAAAAGTTACCTCTAGTAATAACTAATAGGCCTTTGTCTATTGTCTAATTTAAATTATTTTTAAATAGCATCTATTTTTAAAAGTAGGCTCGTGCGGTTTAAAAAATGTCGTCAAACATACACAAATGAAATTCTCAGTATGAAAGATAACTGTGAGTGACTTACTTTAGCATAATTTACTTCATTATGTCCCTTGGTGAAACTAAGAGTAGAGAGATGATTTTATGTTCTCTACTGCTAGTTGGAGAATCGATGGGGGGGGGGGGGGGGGGGGGGGGGGGGAAGGGGGGAGTGGCATTTAAAAACATTTTTCTTTTAAAACTAAACATTAACACTGTGTGTTTTTGGAATTGAGATTCTATTGTTGCATCATTAAGGAATTATGCGTATAATTATAAAGATACTTCAAAATTTAGATCCCGATCTTACTGACTATAAGGACATCGGGTACAAAGGTGTTACTTTTCAATGTTTGGGGATCGTGCACATAATATACAACATAAAAAAGTGATGTTATGTCATAGCTCACTACCCCCTAATATGTTACATATTTATATTCAGACATATGCCCACATAAGTAGCGTCACAAGGATATGGATCGCAACGGGTAACACCATTTTAAGAACGTTAAGCTTCAAGGAAAAGTAGCATATTTTAATTAAAAAGTCTGAGTTTTCCAGATAGCTTAATAACTAGATAAAATTATATGCACCATTCATTAAGTAAATGTGTCACCGAATCGCTTCTAGTTTTAGCACATCATTGTCTGGGGCGGGGGGGGGGGTCGCTCTTATTATTTAACATTTCTAGTAACCTACACCCGCCAACCAGCATGAAGACTGATTTTTAAAAATGAAAATATATCATAAGATTTTTTTAATGTAATTACTTGATATATCTTCATTTAAAACAGCTGTAAAAAAATAATTATGAGTCAGCTGTGTCTAACGTTTCATTTTAAGTGGCAAAAATTTGACAGAAACAAAATCAAAATCAGCCCTCTATAATATTTTTGTATATCACCCCCACTCACCCCTTATTACAATATATAACACAAGGATAAACCACCACCCCGCCCACCTCCTTCCTGTTATACAATAAGTGCACCAGTGGCGTAGCCAGGAATTGGTCATGGGAGGGGTTCAAATATTTTTCCATATGTATAAAATCATATATATTATATATATATATATATATATATATATATATATATATATATATATATATATATATATATATATATATATATATATATATATATATATAGGGGTGTGAATCCATGGAAGGAGGGGTAATAACCCCTCCCTAACCCACCCCCCTTGCCTACTCCACTAATGTGCACGATCGCTTGTCTGCAAATGGTGAGTCGTGTGTGAACGGCACTCAGTCAGCTCTCATGGACAATCATGCTGACCTGGGGTCAACCAAGCCTGACTACCGTAGGCCTCACTGAGCCTGGAGCTTGAGATATCCAAGCAAGAGTATGATAGTATGATGAATGTGGTCCAGCTATTCTTCATTGAAAAAGTTTATTTCTAAGTTGTTTTTTTTTCAAAATTCAACGCCATGCTTTTATGTATTGACGTGCTATTTATTACATTCTCTTTTGTTGGAAGTCGTCATAAATAATAAATAGACAACCCCCAAAAAGTCTGCTGTAAAGTTGATGTTGGTTCCAACCAAGGTTTCTTTCCCCCCCCCCCCCCCCCCCCCCGGATATGCTTGAAAGAAAGTCTGGACCTAATTTTTTAAAAATCCATTCTGATGGGAGGCACTGTCCTACCAGCGTTCACCCTTCTCCCAGAGTTCAAGAGCAGAGAACCCAGTGCAAAACTTGAGTGAATCATCGACCACTGAATCATCGACCATCGACGTCTCGCCCCGCCCCTCGACCAAACTGTGTGATGCTTTTGTAGGCTTAGAGCTAAATATGAGTGACAGGAGGAATTTTGTAATGGCTCTAGCTTTTCAAGAAATCGTATCTTCTGTAAGGATAAGATACTAAAATATCAAGATAGTTTTAAATGCAAAACCTTGATTTTTTTTTTTTTGCCAAAGATTCATTAAAGGGTCAAACCTTGATTATCGTTAAACTGAAAGAATCAGTTTCAGCCCATTAAAGTTAAACTGAAAGAATCTGTTAACAAACGTTTCGCCTTAGTTAACTATTAAAGTTATTGCCCTTTGCATATAACTGGTTCAAATAGGTCATTGCCTCAATGTTTAGGTCACCTTGCTTCGTGTCGTAAGAACCTCACTAGATAATGCCTAGTTAAAGATCTATATCCAAATTATTTTCCCCTTTGATCATTAAGGGAAGTAATCAACATTCCAAATACTAACTAGTAAATTTAGTTTTTATCTCCCTTGATAAAGACTAATTTGTAATTATAGTATTAGGCTGTGAGTGATCAGCAATGACTTGACAAAATCTGGATTAATGTTCGCAAAGTGTAGTTTACCCCTCCAAACCCTAACGTTGATTTATAACTGGCATATACACAAAGCACGCATCCAAGCCATTTACACTCATTCCAATCATCTTTATAAAGAAAAACATTTTTTTTATTGGCATGAACATGTTAATTTATTCATTGTATAAAAAATACAATAGTTGAAAATGTACATGTGTAATTACAACAAAAGATAAATTACAATATTGAAAATGAGAACTGAAGTTCAATGTGGAAAAAAAAAGATGGCTTGGACTAGACTGGTAGCACCAATAGCACTGTTGAAAGAGGTGTCCAAGAGTTTAAAATTACACTGATTTCTCCTTGACTTTGAGCATTGATGGTCCATGTCATTCAACACATCTTGCTGGGACTGATTTCAAAAGGCTTACAGGGAGCATAGTATGCAAGACTAGTTGGGATAAATGCAGTCAGATCTTAAATTAATTAAATACAGCTATGTTGGTTTTTTAATCTAGAAGCACTTTCTGTGGACGATAGAGGGACCAGATTCATCATACTCTTGTTTGGAGATCCACATCTGTTGGAAGGTGGATAGAGAGGCCAAGATGGAGCCTCCAATCCATACAGAGTATTTGCGCTCTGGTGGAGCAATGATCTTGATCTTCATTGTTGGTGGAGCAAGAGCAGTGATCTCTTTCTGCATACGGTCGGCAATACCTGGGAACATTGTGGAACCACCAGACAATACAGTGTTGGCATACAAGTCTTTACGGATATCGACGTCGCACTTCATGATGGAGTTGTAGGTGGTTTCGTGGATACCTGCAGACTCCATACCAAGGAAGGATGGCTGGAATTCAGCTTCTGGGCACCTGAATCTCTCATTACCAATGGTAATTACTTGACCATCAGGAAGCTCGTAGCTCTTTTCGAGGGATGATGATGTTGAAGCTGTCTGCATTTCTTGCTCAAAGTCAAGAGCAACATAGCAGAGCTTTTCTTTAATGTCACGGACAATTTCTCTTTCTGCTGTAGTGGTGAAGCTGTAGCCTCTCTCTGTGAGGATCTTCATCAAGTAATCAGTGAGATCACGACCAGCCAAATCCAATCTCATAATGGCATGGGGCAAGGCGTAACCTTCATAGATGGGGACAGTGTGGGTAACACCATCACCAGAGTCCAAGACAATACCAGTGGTACGACCAGAGGCATACAGAGAGAGCACAGCCTGAATGGCTACGTACATAGCTGGTGTGTTGAAGGTTTCGAACATGATCTGTGTCATCTTTTCTCTGTTGGCTTTGGGGTTGAGTGGAGCCTCAGTGAGAAGAACAGGGTGTTCCTCAGGGGCAACTCTCAGCTCATTGTAGAAGGTGTGGTGCCAGATCTTCTCCATGTCATCCCAGTTGGTGACAATACCATGCTCAATGGGATATTTCAGTGTCAGGATACCTCTCTTGGACTGGGCCTCATCTCCAACATAGCTGTCTTTCTGTCCCATACCAACCATCACACCCTGGAAATTAAATACAATATCATTAGTTGTGCTGCAAAATTAACTGTGATACAAATTGTATATCTTGCATTATAGTTGGCAAGTAGATGTAGATCTAGGCCTATGTAACTTGTGGCAAATATAAATAGTTGTAGTGAAATATAAAATTAAAGAGCAATGCTTAATTAATAGGCCTACTACAATTACAAAATGCAAGCTAGTTTTGTTTGTGATAATAGCCTAAGTTGTTAAGTGGAGGGGTGGAGGTGTAAATTACTAACGGGATGATAACATTTTAAAAATTAGGAAATCCCCAATTATTAACATTTTTAAAAACGTATCCGTGTATTCAAGCATTCGCAAGTCTATGTCTAAGTGTCAAGTAAACCGGAACTAGGTCGTTGACAGTAACACAACTGTGTCAAGGGGGCCGGGGTGGCAGGTTTTTTTTCTCTCCGGGTCACACAAGGGTGGGTTTGTATAAGATTGAATAGGGGTGAATTTAGAGCATAGTATTTTCTTACCTGGTGACGGGGTCTCCCCACGATGGAAGGAAACACGGCCCTTGGTGCGTCGTCCCCGGCGAAACCGGCTTTACACATGCCAGAGCCATTGTCGACTACTAGGGCAGCTACGTCTTCGTCGCACATGGTTTTGGGTTAGGAAAATCACGAAATAAGTTCAATTTGAAAGTGGAAATGTGGCTGCACTGATCGTTAGATCTCGAATGGGTTTGAGTTTTTCGTTCGCCGGCTGTTATAACGTGGTGTGGGAACGTGGGGGAGAAAATAAAATGCCGGAGTGTGACTAAGCCGTCATATGCCCATATAAGGAGCCGGTATACTATTGTTTCCAGGAATCGGCGAGGAGGGCCGGCCTTGCGATGCCCATATATAGAAGTACAACTCGGCAGCAGAAAGACTGGAACGATCGATGAAGCTCGTGTGTTGTGGCTTGTCCATGACCAGCAGACGGGGGACAAAGCGAAGTGGGGGAGGGGGGAAGGGGTTGGCCTGTGTCACGCCGCACCCCCACCCCCTCTGCTTCGACCGGTGTTTAGAGAAAGTCTTCTATATTTTTGATACACGTTCATACACACGTGGCCTAACTAGGTCTATTTGGGAAAGAGGGAGGTGGGGTCATAGGAAATCACCGTCTACGTTTAGGCCTAGTCATGAATTTATGGCAAAGGGGTTTTCACTTGTGCGACGTATTAAAAACTATTTATAACCTACATGTGCTTCTTCATAAAATTACTGTGTAGGCTAAAGACTGCCGTGGCGAACTATGCACCACACCCTTATATCATTAGTTTATTCTTAGTAGTTTTTGTATAGATCTAGAAGTGTTTGGTTAGTGTCGACTTAGCAAATCTACACGGCTTTGTTATTTTAATGTATTTCTAATTTGATATCTAACATACAGGTACTACCTCAACTCGCGGGAGCCATGAACGAACACGGAATTTTAACACTCGCACAGCAAGATTTATGCTGACATTTACTGACCACCTCTAAAGTAGGACCCGCACAGCAGGATCTGATTGCTTTTACTGACAACCACTGCCTTTTTTTTAAATTTAAGTCGCCCCCCCCCCCCCCCCCCCCCCCCCCCTGCGAAAAAATGTCTGGAAGGTGTTTTAAAGTTGATGCACATGCAGTCAGAAGTTGTTGCACAGTTGTTTGATGGCCTGTGAAGTTTTTGTAGAACTCAAAACATGGGCCTAATCAACACCAGCGAGCCAGTGATTCTTTCAGACTTTTTCTCGGGGGGAGGGGGGGGATAAATTTTCCGGGGGCAGACACTGGTAAAAGTATATATTTTCTATATAATTTCCATTTCATTCGGGGATGGGAGGGGGGGGGGGGGCTTTCGTCCGAAGAGATGTCTGGAAGAAACTGCGTTGAGTCTTTAGCGTCATACACCGCCTAATGGGGGGAATGAATACACTAGCTACAGGAGCAGACGAATACACTAGCTACAGGAGCAGACGAATACACTGGCTAAATGGACAGACGAATACAAGGAGCAGACGAATACAATAGCTAAAGGGGTAGTCGAATACACAAGCTAAAGGGCAAAACGAATACACTAGCTAAAGGGACAGAGGAATACATTAGCTAGAGTGGCAGACGAATACAAGGAGCAGACGAATACAATAGCTAAAGGGGTAGTCGAATACACAAGCTAAAGGGCAAAACGAATACACTAGCTAAAGGGACAGAGGAATACATTAGCTAGAGTGGCAGACGAATACAAGGAGCAGACGAATACACTAGCTAAAGGGCAAGACGAATACACTAGCTAAAGGGCTAGACGAATACACTAGCTAAAGGGCAAGATGAATACACTAGCTAAAGGGCAAGACGAATACAATAGCTAAAAGGCCAGACGAAAACACTAGCTAAAGGACCAAACGAATACACTAGCTAAAGGGCAAGACGAATACACTAGCTAAAAGGCCAGACGAAAACACTAGCTAAAGGACCAAACGAATACACTAGCTAAAGGGCAAGACGAATACACTAGCTAAAAGGCCAGACGAATACACTAGCTAAAGGACCAAACGAATACACTAGCTAAAGAGGCAGACGAATACGCTAGCTAAAGGGCCAGACGAATACAATTGAGCTAAAGTACCAAACGAATACACTAGCTAAAGGACCAAACGAATACACTTAGCTAAAGGGACAGACTATCAGTACTAGGTAATGGGACACACAAATACAACGAATACACATAGCTAAAGGGGCAGACTATCAGTACTAGGTAATGGGACACACAAATACAACGAATACACTAGCTAAAGGGACAGACTATCAGTACTAGGTAATGGGACACACAAATACAACGAATACACTAGCTAAAGGGACAGACTATCAGTACTAGGTAATGGGACACACAAATACAACGAATACACTAGCTAAAGGGACAGACTATCAGTACTAGGTAATGGGACACACAAATACAACGAATACACTAGCTAAAGGGACAGACTATCAGTACTAGGTAATGGGACACACAAATACAACGAATACACTAGCTAAAGGGACAGACTATCAGTACTAGGTAATGGGACACACAAATACAACGAATACACTAGCTAAAGGGACAGACTATCAGTACTAGGTAATGGGACACACAAATACAACGAATACACTAGCTAAAGGGACAGACTATCAGTACTAGGTAATGGGACACACAAATACAACGAATACACTAGCTAAAGGGACAGACTATCAGTACTAGGTAATGGGACACACAAATACAACGAATACACTAGCTAAAGGGACAGACTATCAGTACTAAGTAATGGGACACACAAATACAACGAATACACTAGCTAAAGGGGCAGACTATCAGTACTAGGTATTGGGACACACAAATACAACGAATACACTAGCTAAAGGGACAGACTATCAGTACTAGGTAATGGGACACACAAATACAACGAATACACTAGCTAAAGGGGCAGACTATCAGTACTAGGTAATGGGACACACAAATACAACGAATACACAAGCACGCGTGTAAACAGACATGCTGTTGGGGCTTAATTAATTCGCACTGCTTAAAATCCCAGGAATGTGACTGGTGATGTCATGACGTCCCTACCCCCTCCCACCCCCTCCAGATGCCTAGATAACGTTCAAGTGTACACGTGTTTCACTGCCTCAGCAATTTTTTCCAGTGCCTGTCTAACGATAAGCCAAGTGGCCGAACAATAGTGTTTTAAAAAAACATGTTCTGTAGATAGAGAGGGCCAGATAAAATTATGACAGTTGCGGTTCTCTCAATCAACAAAGGCATCCTGTGTGTCTGAATTTTTTTTTTAAATCACGTGATCGTCCATAAAAAATGTTTTACTAGTACCGGGTGATTGAGTGACAAAAGAGTTTCTTTCAGGCATTTCTCCAGCCAAAAAAATAAATGTATATAGAAAATATATACTTAAATCAATGCCCGCCGCTCCCCGGAAATGTTATGTGCACCCCCGGAAGTTCCAACTGCTCCACCTCATCGTAGAAAATGTCTAAAAGAAACTCTACATATTCGTGGGCGTGGTGGTGCGCTCAGACTTTAGAGTCTGAGTTAGGAAGTTAAGAGGTGACGTGGCATTTATTTTATAGGAAGAGGATAGAAATATAATGTGAATTATGGTTAATGGTTCGGGGAAGGAGTGGAGTTTTGTTACGTCATTTTTTGGAAGACAGTGTTTCTTCCAGACTAAAATTTCCGGGGGGGGGGGGGGGGGGACACACGATTGTAGGAAAAAAAGTCACAGGAAAAAAAAACACAGGAAAAAAAAACACAGAAAAAAAGTCACAGGAAAAAAAGTCACAGGAAAAAAAGTCACAGGAAAAAAAGTCACAAATATATATTTGCATGATATTTGTTAATACTTTTATGTATTAAATATTTAGAGAGTGCAAATTAACTTAGGATTAATTAAATGTAATGTAATGTGTGTAGGCTGTATACGCATAGGAATTTTTTATAATTCATCTAAATATATTTATTATGAAGTATGTAGATTGTAATTATTTTAAACTTAAGATTAGTAGCATTTAATAGAGTCCACGTTTTTCATCGTGTTTTTTTTTTAAATACCAATATTAAATTACCGTGAAATGGTAAGTTCATCTGACTTGCTGCCCTCAACTCATGGCAACAATAGTTATGCTTAGTTCAACCACCTTTACTGCCCACATTTATCACGCTCATTACATAACAAAACTTAGGATCAAAACAGAGAGCCGACAAGGCTCAAAGGCTGTCATTGACGCATAACGTCAACACCACAGAATATGTTCGGACAATGCCTACTGAGGAGAGGCCGACCAGAGAATAGCCTACGGCAAAATGTGCCTAAATTTCTTTTATAATTAACTTTTCTACCGCGTATTTATCTAAATACGTAACAAATGTTGAGATTGTTGTGTTTATTATCTTAGAGTTTTTTTTACTTACAATTGTTAGAAATCATAATGCTTTTAACGTCTATAAATAATGTATGCTATCAAAAAATACAACCCACAACAATAAACATACAAAATTTTACAATTTTTATCAAATTAATAAAAATATTTCTAAAAATATTTTTGTGACTTTTTTTCTGTGACTTTATTTCTGTGACTTTTTTTCCGATAAAATTTTTCCACTGTGACTTTTTTTCTGTGACTTTTTTTCCTAGCAAAAACTGTGACTTTTTTTCTGTGTTTTTTTTTCCTGTGACTTTTTTTCCGTTTACCGGGACACACACACTGTTAGAAGTATATATTTTCTATATAAATTCCATTTCGTTCGGGGCGGGGGGGACGGAAGAGTTGCCTGAAAGAAAAACTGATGGAAGGGGAGGGGGTGGTGTTGTCTGGCACTAAACTCACCGCCGGAGAGATTCCTGCAAGAAACACTTAAGACAGCATGTTCGTTAAATACAGATGGGTCAGTGACTCTATGTAAATATTATACTAAATCATTCTTGAGACAATGCATTAATGACTAGAGTTAGGGACTGGACGGGAAGGGGGGCAGATTCTCTCAGGTACCTCTTCGGGGGGGGGGGGGGGCGGTCCCCTCCCCTGGACGAAATAAAGAGAATATTTAACACAAGTAGAAAATAAAATATATACTTTAACCAGTGCCTCCAAACTCCTCCCCGGAAAGAAAGTGTCAAGTGTCCCCACCCCGGAGAAAATGTCTGGAAAAAAAACAATGTTGGTGCGGGGGGGGGGGGGGGGGGGGGGCAATTTATTTAAACCGGGTCAAAATTCAACCCTTAAGGGTCATAAGAGATAAGTGCCGGGACTTTTCAAACCTTACTTCATTTAGACTTCACGCTATCTTATAAAAGCAGTCGCCATTTAACTGTTAACAAGATAACGATTTTACTAATGCAATTACTGATTGGTTTTCTTATCCAATGACACGCTGTATGACAGTGGTCGTGTTACTAACAACGGCCACGCCTGAATCGTTCAACGTCCCGTGTGACGAAGCGAGAACAACAGCGGTGAGTAAATGGTGGCGGTGCTTTATGCAATTATGGTAATCAGCATCAAAATTTGTTCTGTGTCAACACAATCAAGGGCTACACACGGTGACCAGGGCCTGACCCAAGGCTCACGGTGAGTCAACTACACACCGCCCAGAGTGACCAAACAAAGAAACCCCCGTCTCGCCAGACGGCCGTCTGGTTAAGCGTCCCTTGGCCAGACGAACAATGAGAGGGAGGGGTGTGGAGGGAGGGAGGGGAGAATGGGGGTCAGAGGAGAAGAATTTTGGAGGAAATATTTTAAACATAATGACAAACCGTTTTCACACAAAGCCTATGCAAGGACGAAAATTCTTTATTTGTTCGTGCATTGATTTTTTTAAAAGAAAATATTTAAATAAATGTATTAATGTATTAAGGCATGTGTTGTCCTTTTGTGTACACAACTATAGACCTGTACCTAATCTAACACATATGCTATACTAGATATTTGACTGCCTCAAACTAGTTATTTTCACATTCTTTAAAAAATAAATTCACATATATCACTATTGAATAAAAAAAAACCGAAGAGAAACGAAAACAAAAATTACCGAATGAGGATTGTCTATAACGAGACGACACGCAGTTTAATCCGATTTGAAGCCCCCCCCCCCCCCCCCCACCCTTATATCCTATCTCTAATCATTATCATAATTTTCAGTCTCCTTTTTTTAATCATTAGAAATTACTCTAATGTTTTCACGCATATTGACCCCACCCCTCCCCCAAGGTAGTACATCGTCTAACTCTAAACTATTAAAAAACTTGTTCCAGTGTTCCACCATTGTCACTTATATTCGTAGCACACCCATAAAGGTGTTAGTAATAAATATTATGGACTGCAATGAGTTAACCAATTAAGTTGAAAAACAAGGTTTGACTCAAAGAATGAATGGGGTGGAGGGGGGGGGGGAAGAGTAGACTATGACCTAATTTCACTACTTTATTTACACTGATTTGAAAATTCCCTATTAGTAAGTTAGTCTGTCATGACTTGTTTGGTCATCATGACTTGATTGGTCATGCCTTTTGTTTACCTAAATGTGCAGGCTTAATCATCTCATTTCTAGAGGCGCATTACTATGCGTGTGTTGCCGGCTTTAGTAGGCCTAGGCTAACTATTTCTGTAATTCCAATGACGGTCAGGTGACGAATTCCACCAATCCCCGCTGGACAAAAATGTTTGAATGTAGGCCTTATGACATTAGACTTGTCAATAAGTTGAGTCATTTCGCGGAGCTCCTAAATAATCGAAGAAATTATATCGATTGCGTACGAATCATATCGAAAGAGGTTTAGGCTATATAGTTATCATCGCATTGAAAGGATATATTATTAATATCAATAACTGGAATTAGAACTAGATGAAAACAAACTTGCAAGTCACAATTTCAGTTGAAATACAATACGAATAGTACCAAAAAAACAAACAAAAAAAAACAGCTGAGTAGTCAATCATAATAAAAACCTTTGACTTTGATGTTAATTTGTATGTGTGATATGCGCTCTACCTTGTTTTTCACTTCACTTCTATCACCCACGAAGGATTCCATGGCTTTACATCCTCCTTAGCAAGGTACAACCTGACCAATCACCCCCCCCCCCCCAGGGGCGGAACTACAGTGCCGCCAGACCCCCGCAATGCGGGGGGGCCCACGCCATTTAGGGGCCCAGAGCCGACCATAATAACTTTTTTTTATAGTTAAAAAAAAAAGTTAATTTTCTTTAATTTTCGACTTGATGGTTGTTTTGTAAAAATTTACCGTAGCTGCGGTTATTTTTATTATATAGACACCACCCCCACGCTCTTGTATATTCTTGTTCCCTTTGTTTTTAAACCACTGTGAAAGCCGAGCCTTTCTCTTACAATTAAACTTATTAAAAATAAGCAAATGTTCAAACCACTTCCATGACTTATTTCCCTTATTTTTAAAAATAGTCAAATAAGGGTGATCATAAGCTCCTTTTAATAGATTCGTACTAAACAAATTAAAAAGCAATTACTACTCTTAATTATTAATTTTTATAAGTAATTTTTAAACAATGACATTGTATAAAAAGAAATTTATTAAATCAATAATATTAAAAAATTAATAATATAAATAAAAAAAAAACATAAAATAAACATAAAACAAGACACCATTACTTATACAAAGCTTTCATGTTTTATATTATTTTGACCGCCTGGATGTAAAGAGGCCTTGTTTAAAAAATTAATTAAAACTGATTTTCACAAAACATACCAATGCACTTATATACATGACATGATGTTGAAATTATTTAAAATTGATGTTTTTTAAATCCCGAACAGGCTAGCAATGAGTATCCCATGTTCGTATTTTGTGATTGTATATACATATATATACATATATATGTATATATATATATATATATATATATATATATATATATATATATATATATATATATATATATTATATATATATATATATATATACATACATATATATATATATATATATATATATATATATATATATATATATATATATATATATATATATATATATATATATATATATATATATATATATATATATATATGGGGGGGGGGCCTAAATTTTTTTTTTGCGGGGTGGCCCTTTTTTTTCTTGTTCCGCCACTGCCCCCCCCCCCCCCAATAAAAAAAAATAATTGAACGGATACTATTAATACTAAAATTCTCATAGAAATTTACCAGGTCTTAAGTGCCCCATAGTTCAGTAATCTCTCCTCCCCCACCAACTGCAATAAATTATTATAATTGGCTTAAAGTTTGAACCCATATTGAAAGTAATAATTTTTATCTAGATAACAGGTAATATACACTTGAGTTTTGGATGTTGCTATTTTATTAATGTAAATTCAAATGTAAGTTCAAATTCAGCCCCCAACCGCATGAAACTGAAATTGTAACAAGTTGTTAGAAGGTCCTCAATGTAGAAAGCTGACAACGAAATACTTCTGATATGGTTTTGTTGTTCAAACTGATTACACATTCACTAAACCCGGACACTAAAATGTGTTACTTCCGGCTTAGTTTTAACTTCCTTGTGTGCAGACTACCACTAATGTGCATGGTCAAATCCAAGAGAAAAAATTCAGTACAAGTTTCAATACAGAATTTTAAGAACTGCCCAAGTCAGGCAGAGATTTATTGTTTCATCCAGAAGTGTAACCAACAGCATAGGCCCATCTCCCACGCCAATGTGTGTTGTACTGCTTAACTCTGCTTAAAGACAAGTTCACTGTTATCAAGTTGAAGTTTACTGTTTTTAAATGCTTATTAAAATTCAATGATCTTTCAAAATAGACTCTTTTTAACCTCTTTAGTTAAGCACTTGCACACGCCTTCAACAATCATACGATTTTAGCAAGTCTGCAAACAAATCAATTTAAACAAACATTGATACAAATACATCTTGCACACAAACCATACATTAAATATAAAGAAAACAATGTAAGGTTTTAAATGTTTTATTGCCATATTACAAAATATTTTGCTTTTGTTTTTAAAAAGATTATGTACATTAAGTAACAATACAGTAACAAAGATCAATTGAAAAAGAATTTTCCCTTAAAAAGTTCTTGTAATAGCATGCAGTAGTGGCTGGTATTTGACTTCACCTGACTAAGGACAGTGGACTTGTATGGAACATTTTGAGCATGGTTGGTGATAGATGGTTAACAATATCACAAGAACAATTTACTGGAGGTGATACTCTAAAGGAAAAATTGATTAATCTACTGAACTTGTTTAGAAACACTTTCTATGAACGATAGATGGACCAGATTCATCATACTCTTGTTTGGAGATCCACATCTGTTGGAAGGTGGATAGAGAGGCCAAGATGGAGCCTCCAATCCATACAGAGTATTTGCGCTCTGGTGGAGCAATGATCTTGATCTTCATTGTTGGTGGAGCAAGGGCAGTGATCTCTTTCTGCATACGGTCGGCAATACCTGGGAACATTGTGGAACCACCAGACAATACAGTGTTGGCATACAAGTCTTTACGGATATCGACGTCGCACTTCATGATGGAGTTGTAGGTGGTTTCGTGGATACCTGCAGACTCCATGCCGAGGAAGGATGGCTGGAATTCAGACTCTGGGCATCTGAATCTCTCATTACCAATGGTAATTACCTGACCATCAGGAAGCTCGTAGCTCTTTTCGAGGGATGATGATGTTGAAGCTGTCTGCATTTCTTGCTCAAAGTCAAGAGCAACGTAGCAGAGCTTTTCTTTAATGTCACGGACAATTTCTCTTTCTGCTGTAGTGGTGAAGCTGTAACCTCTCTCTGTGAGGATCTTCATCAAGTAATCAGTGAGATCACGACCGGCCAAATCCAATCTCATAATGGCATGGGGCAAGGCGTAACCTTCATAGATTGGGACAGTGTGGGTAACACCATCACCAGAGTCCATGACAATACCAGTGGTACGACCAGAGGCATACAGAGAGAGCACAGCCTGAATGGCTACGTACATAGCTGGTGTGTTGAAGGTTTCGAACATGATCTGTGTCATCTTTTCTCTGTTGGCTTTGGGGTTGAGTGGAGCCTCAGTGAGAAGAACAGGGTGTTCCTCAGGGGCAACTCTCAGCTCATTGTAGAAGGTGTGGTGCCAGATCTTCTCCATGTCATCCCAGTTGGTGACAATACCATGTTCAATGGGGTATTTCAGTGTCAGGATACCTCTCTTGGACTGGGCCTCGTCTCCAACATAGCTGTCTTTCTGTCCCATACCAACCATCACACCCTGCAGAAGAATAGGAATACATTATAAAAATTGTTTTTGACCTTTGACTATGATAGACAAATGACAATGACAAAACGACAACATTAATTTTAAGACTAAAAATTTCGGGATTTAATTTCTTTTGTGAGATCTAGAAATCTAGAACTTGGCCTTATTTTTTTTTTTTAATGTAACTCTGGACTGACCAAATTTTATCTAGATTTCTAGATTTTTCTGGATAAGATAGTTTTAGATAAGTTATCTTCTAGATTCTAAGTCTAAGAGAAATGACAAATTAAATTTTGAACCCTCTTTTGTCTTTAAAATAAGACCGTAATTACTTAAATTTTCAAATTTCAGTCAATAAAATCAATTTTTACCTGATGACGGGGTCTCCCAACGATGGAAGGGAATACAGCTCTTGGAGCATCGTCTCCAGCGAAACCGGCTTTGCACATACCAGAGCCATTGTCAACTACAAGAGCGGCTACGTCTTCGTCAGACATGATGTTCTGTTGAGCTGGGTTAAGTCCACGAAATTTAACTAAAAATCACAGGTGAAAGAGCCACACTGACACTTGTAGCACGAATGAACCTGACTGGTACTGTCGCCGACTAATATACAACACGGCCGAAGGCGGGGGGTTTGGCCATGCCATATAAGGAGTTGACACAGAAGGAGCGCGAACGTTGACAAAAGCACACGGTTCACTGGCCGAGCTATCGAACAACCTCTCGTGTTATTCACTCCCCCTCCCCCCCCTCTTCTCCCTGGGGCTTACACCTTTTAGCTACACACTAACGATTTTTTTTTTACTGACGTTAGTAGTTGGCCTGGTTTGACGTTAATTTCTCTTATCCCGCCCCACCCCCTGAAATAAACAGGATCTAAAATTGAAGGGATGAAATCTTGAAAATACTAAGCTTCTAATTTTAAAAATAAAACAACCCTCTCGCACAACATAACTATATATGGGAATAAAAATATTGCCAACACGACTCAGACATGCAAATTTACATATTTAGAAATTAGATCCCTATCAAAATATGTTTATCAAACTATTTGGAGAAAATAATGTAGTTTAATAACAAAATCTCTAGTTGTTCTCAGTATGTAAACATTTAAGCAATAATAATACTGTTCACATTTGCATTCTTTCATGATTCATAAAATATTCTTTTGACATTTTCTAGATCTATTCCGCTGCAACTTTTGTTAAGAGCTTTACCAAGCGTAGAGAATAGGAACCGAGTTGAATTGTATGCCTATATTTAATTTTAATGGAACACTATCAAACATAAATCAAATGGGAAAAAAAACTTAGATATCTTCACCGTTACATAAATTATTTCGTTAAGTTCCTAAATATTACTGATTCGCAATTTTAAATTTTTTTTTTTTAAAGTGACGCTGTATGAGACTGTGGACTGGGCGGAAGTGTGTCGGTCTGATGAGTGACGTGTAGGGGCCTCATGTGTTGTCACACATTCCCCTTGACCTCGCCTTCACCGTGGCGATCTGGCTATGAGCGAATCAGCTGATTGTATTACCCGTGGCCCATGCCACCAACACATGCCCACGGGGAAGTAAAATCTAGGACAAAAGCAAGCACAGGCCTCCCTCGTGACCCGGCTTGTTCTCGGCACTGAAACTTCCCATTGACTCGAGACCTAACCCTAACTTTACTGTAAAGTTTACATTAATTAGCTTCTTCTACCCTAAACATTCACGCTAACATTAGGTTAAGTATTAAGTAGTTTCTGTTTTAACTGGAAAGTAAGCTACTCATTATTTGTGTACCACACAGTACATCAGGTTAAAGTTTTAGTTAAGGTTTTTCAACATTTAGTCCAGCAATAACCAATTTTCTTCTTTTAACCCAGACGTAGGGAGCTTTTGGGGAGGGGGGGGGGGGGGGGAAATCCGAAGCCGCGCGGCCTATAAATGTGTACAGCTGCGGTCTTTTTGCTTGAAAATTAAAAATAAATAAAAATGTAGACCAATGTGTCTAACCCAACACGCAGAATAAAGCTTCAACACCACGAAGATATATTAATATTACTTTAGCATATAAGCATAATAATTATAAAAACTATCGTTGCGGATCCTTGTTTAATTAACATAATAACATAATTATAAAACGGATCTTAAAGAAAGGCTGCCGACCCCAAGCCTTATCCCTAACATTGTTTTCTTGATGCCTAACTTTATTAGGGTTTAAGTATCACCTGCATTTTTGTTGCTATGACCTTTTCGCACTTAGGGTATCACAGGCTCTTTGTCAAGAATATTATCTCCTAATTTTATTTACCATAACCCCAACCAAATTAACTTTAGCAAGAACGAATAAGTTAGAACCAACAGCCTATAAACTAAATAAAAAATATGGACGTATAATTAAGAAGTGCATAATCTTTTCTTTACTTAGTCTTAGACTAATGTTCAGGGTGTCATTCATAAATGACGTCACGCTTTTTTTTGGACGATTTTACTTCCTTCTTCCTCATGGTCACAAAATGCCAGACCTCCACCTCTTTTAATGATGGCATACCTCAGCATACCACCCCTTCAAAATCGAAGTTTTAGTTTTTTTAAACATCGATTTTTTTTTTTCTACAATATTTTCTGAGCTCGGTCAACATTGAGTATATTAATCTGTTTCTACTGCAATTTATATAAACAACAATTTAAAAACAAGAAAAAGCTGCTAAAATTCTAGCCGTACTATTTAAAGTGCATCTACACATTTTTTGAGCCACCCCCTCCCCCTTTCACAAAATTTCGAAACCCCTCTCCAAGGGAGCGTGACATCAATAATGGGACCACCCCATACAATATGATCATTTATTTGCATCATGTAAATTATCCTTTAGGCTTCTTGATGTAACAAATAGGTTACTTGATTTTTTCCAAGCATGAGCTTAGCCTGTTCAGAGGGCGTAGCGAGGGGGGGGGGGACGACATATGTCCCCGGGCGCCGACTGAGGGGGAGCGCCAATTGAAAGTTTGAGAGGGGGCTGCAAATGAAAAGTTCGAGGGGGGGGGGGGTTGCAAATAGAAAGTTTGTACCCGGGCGCCGGGAAGGGTCGCTACGCCTCTGAGCCTGTTTATAACATACCAGCGCAAGTACTGTGCTTGTACGCGTGTATTGTGTCGTATCAAATTAAAGTAAACAAAGTAGCCTAGTCGACTCTCCATTGTTTTTGAAATGTGAGTACAGGCTTCGTGCTTAAAAAACGAGGCACGTTTTTGGGAATAAAACAGGACCAAAGATTGCAGATGTGTGTGTGGTGTGTGTGTTTGTTGGGGGGGGGGGGGGTGAAAATATGGGAAATATTTAAGTGGGGAAATAATGTATTAGACTGATAGGTAATTGTTTAGCTAAAAATAATTGATAAGGTGCAGTGATTGGCAAAAAAAAAAGACAGGCAAAAGAAGACACGAGAAGACATCAGGGAATGGACAGGTTTGACAGCGAGAAAGGCACGGAGAAAGACGGAAAACAGAGTAGAATAGAGGATTGCATTTAAAAGCAG